CTTGTAGGCCAAGATAAAGAAGCTTAAGGTTGGCTATTAATTTTGGCTAATATTAAATCATGACACAGCTCACATGTAAGGATCACAGTTCAATAATGAGCCATAAAGAAGTTCGAAGAAAAGAAGATTTGTAAGATTTTTTTAAGCACATTAGTATATATTGGAGAAGCTGTGAGAGTGCCTCATGCCCAAGTAATGCCAGACCCACGCCCGAGTGTATAAATCCAAACACAATTATTCTCAGCCTCACAGTGAGAGGTGGCAAAGTTGAGCATGACTATACTAAAAACTGCATCGCAGTGATGCTCAGACAGAGGTTTCCTTCTGGAATTCACAGTGGGCTAATAAGATTATTCTGTCATCTTAAGTTCTACCAAATTATTCAAAAATACTTTTCTTTTCTTTTCTTTCTTTTTCTTTTTTTTTTTTTTTTTTTTTTTTTTTTTTTTTTTTTTTTTTTTTTTGGTTTTTCGAGACAGAGTTCCTCTGTGGTTTTGGAGCCTGTCCTGGAACTAGCTCTTGTAGACCAGGCTGGTCTCGAACTCACAGAGATCCACCTGCCTCTGCCTCCCGAGTGCTGGGATTAAAGGCGTGCTCCACCAGTATTCATAAACACAACTGGGAAACATAAGACTGACTTGTATTTGTCTTAGGAATGGTGACTATTTCTTTATTTCTCAATATAGCTGATTTTTTTTTTTTTTACAAAAGTACTGTGACTTTTCAAAGACATTTTCTTCTTTGACAGAAATTTTTAAACAATTCGTTTTGCTTGTGTAGGGGGTGATTACTTAAATGCCCCTGCAGTTAGCTGACATGATCAAGTGAATATAGCTGGGAAAAACTAGCTAATGCCAGCTTACAAATGAAGATTCTAAACTAACAAATAAAAGATTACAAACTAAAGAGAATCAGAAGGATAAGACCAAGTTCTCAGCTCACTTTTTTTTGAAACCAGTGTGTTCAGTGTCCTTGCCTTTTTAAGGGATTTGCCAGACATTTGAGCAAAATAATTGATTTGTCAAAAATACAATGAAATAAGTAAACTGAAAGACTCAAGTGAAAGATTCCAAGATTGAAAGATAGTAGTTTAAAATAAAAAATTAAACTTCCAAAGTAACAAAAAATTCTAAGTTATGTCTTAAAGAAAAGCCATACATACATACGTAGTTTTAACTCAGTGAAAAGGAACATACTGAGTGTTAATGCTGTTACTGACTGTGGCTAAGTGAGTGCCAAGTTTACTCGCATGACGTGGAAGAGAATGAGGTATGCAAAAGGCACAGAGAAAAAGAAAGAAATCCAGATAAAGAATTATTGATACTCTTATTAAGACTGAGGAATAATATTGAGAATTCTTTCAGGCTAGGAGAAAAATTAATATTGGAAAAGCAATTCATTCTGGTGATCTAACAGTGAGACAAGAACTCAAAAGAGGAACAGGACACACATGGGAGGAATGTGTCAACACCCAAACAAAAGGAAGATCATTTTAGAGTTGAAAGGAATCAGTATCCTTGGGATTAAGTGCTAAGCAGAATAAATTAGACAAGTATTGTCAACTATATACATTATCTTGTTTATGAAACTTAAACACAAAGTACCAAACCATTTTAATTTGAAGGAGAGAAAAAAGCAACCCTTACTGTATAAAAGGTGAATTATAAGAATGGAGCATTTAATTCTGTCTTGTAGAAGTAGTGGAATTTTATATCCAACTGAACCACTAGTACAGTATGTGGGCATTTGCTGGGGAATAGTACGTAGTAATAAATTGCTTTTGTACCATGGACAAGGCAATGGGTTTGATCCCTACCAACACACACACACACACACACACGCATGCACGCACGCACGCATGCAACCAAACCAAACAAACAAATACAAAACCTTGCCCTAGTTGGGCTGATGGAAGTTTTAGGACTTCTAAAACAAACACACAATCAAACAAGCCCCCTAAATGGTAGCTATATTGAAAGTGTTTTCTAAATGAGTTAATGATTTTTGTCTCAAAGTAACAAAAGGGACTAGAATAAGAAGGAGTAATCATGAGGTTTCCAGAAAGCAAATACAACTCAGAACACTTAGAGAAAAATCAGAACGTAATAAGTCAACATTTCCAGCTGAGGTTTCCTTATGACTTTAGAAGATAACCAGAGAGAAAAGCAGGGGGTAGAAGAGCAGAAGAGAAAGACAGGAGAAGAAGTAGTTGATAGCCCAAAAGCCAAGGTAGAGAGACAGAAAAACAACAACAACATCAAAACCAGAGAAGGGGCTGCACAGGAAAATCACAATAAAAAATTCTGATGGATTTTAACTGGTGAAACAACCTTGGGAAACAAGAATAGTAACATTATCCCTTGTGGGACTAATCAGCCCATGGAGTTTATAAAGAACTTTAAGAATAATAAAGCAACACACCACAGCCTTAAAGATACAGAATATACAGACAGACTGATCAACATTAAAGATGCAAAAGATATTGGCAAACTAGTCTGCATCCACACAACAATCACACAGATCAGAAACTCGTCTCCTGAAGGCTTGTGAATAGAAACCAACATGGCGTCCCCTTAAGAGCAAAGTGGGAAGGGAGCTAGAAACATTGCTTAATAACACACACTTTGAGTTTCCTCTGTTATCTTTACATCTTTAAATAGATTCATATACTAATGATTAAATATAGAAGCCATATGGTATTGATTTTACTTGGGTTCTATATATAGTAAGAGAATAAAACAATTTTCTATGACACAGCTCTTTTGTTTTTATACCAGGAAGCCTTGGTTGTTCCTAAACAACAAAAGCCCAAACACCAAACAATTGTTACCTTTTCCAAAAGCTGTAAACCCAAATAATTCCTATGTATGAACATCAATGCTATTGTTTGAAAGATTACAACAGAGAAACTTGGATAAAACTAAAGAGCTAGTAAATTCCATAAATGAGTTGTAGTTATGAAGAAACACACCCACTCCCCTAAAATGCCCCTATTTGCTCACAATCTATATATAAATCTGATTCAAACTGTGGGTCCAGCGAGCAGCTCACTCTAATAAACTCATACATCTGAAAAGGGCCCCTTCCTCCCTTAGGCAATGCAAATCCATTTGAACAATTTCAGAGGTTATCTTGTGACTTGCCATTTTTATTATATTTGGTATCGCTGTATTTTTCTCAATAGCTATATTTAAAAAATTATAAAATTCCTCCCCATCAAGTGACTTTCTGGATCTAGATTTTAACCTCTGCAGTCAAGTCTTACCAGGACCCCATGGCTCAAAAGCATAGGTTTTGCCTACAGGGCTGTGACTACGTGTACTTTGTGGACAGCACACGGAGTGTCACAGTCTATAAGGTACTGGCTTCTGTCCTCTCAGTGGGGTTCAGTGAGGACTGGCTAAGGCCAGAGCTCGGTCCCCTCTACCTTTGGAAACAAGTACATTAGAGAACAAACACTGGAAAATATTCAGGGCCTTAGCAAATCAACCCCGGGTCTGGAAGGTCATTTAAAGAAAGTGATGCAAATGCTCCATTTAGAAACAGCACCGATTCGTTTATAGAGAACACTAGCACTCTTTCTAAATACTCGTCCTCTTGAAAGAGGTTTTCTTTCTTTTCTTCTTCTTCTTTTTCTGGTGAAATTAACAGTGTAACTATTCATCATTTATTTTTATGTAACGTTTCTTAACTGATTAAAATTTTGATTTTTTTTACTTTCTCCCCTGACTCTGTCTTAACTATGAAAATTGTGCTGAAGTGTTGAATTTGACTAGCCAGATGCTTTTAAAAATTGGTTTAATGCCATTTATCTTGCTGGAAAAAAAATCTCAGTGAAAGCCTTGAGAAAAGTTCATAGATAAAATTGAAACAAGCCAGGAAGTGACTACATTTGCATAACTTGATCTGTATTTGGAAAAAAAGATGCCGCTGAAGACAACAATGGAAGCTTATCAAATCAGAATTACACATAGATTTTCCATAGCTCTGCTAATGAATACTGACTCATCGGTGAGCTATGGGGAAACCTCAACAGAGCTCTAGTTAGGAAAGCAGGCAGACATCAGTCAAAGAGCATTAGCTTTGGCTCCGAGGCTGCCTTCTCAGGCCATTCTAGAGGGTGCTGGTGAGGCCAGTTTGCTCACCTGATTGGAGCCAGATCCTACCGCTGAACCAAGAAGCTGTTCATTTCACTGCACACACACACACACACACACACACACACACACACACACACACACACTTAAGCTTATGGAAAAGTTGGCATTGTGTGAGCTGCTAATGAATTGTCTCTATCTCTTCAGTAGACAGATAACTTACACCTGAATCTTTCTCAAGTTGGGCCATCTAAAGGATGATTCCAAAGGTAGAAGTGACTGAAGGTTACTGGATGAGGTTGACTTGGCAGTGTGTCGAATGCCCTCCCGAATGTAACACATGGGGAAGCTGAGGTTCAGGAAAATCACTTCACGTTGTCAACAGAGTTAACTGGTAGATCCAGAGCCTGAATTCCGATTATTGTCATGCACGGAACTGTCTTTCCAATCTCACGGCTAGCATAGTTGAGGATTATTTTTCTACCTGAGATATATTTGCAGGGGGAATCTCCTTATTTTGCTTCATGCTGAACTGTCATCCTTTAGGCGTCTCTGGCTTTTTTCCTAGCATTCTCTAAGACTCTGGTTTCAATGACTAGATACCACTATTGAAATCAGGACCCATTTGACAGTGAAAAAGGCTACTGATAATAAGTAGACTGGAAAAAGAGATGTAAACAGTACAGGCCCATGGGAAAACACACTGTCACCCTCGTGGGGCATCTCCCAGAACAACACTTCTCTGCTCCTGGTACAGAGGACAGGTCCTTTGAGGCCAACTCTGGCTATTTCTTTTCTCTATAATCTCATACCACCAACTTTATTTACTCAAGGGTCATTTTTCTGGACAACTATATTTTCTTCCATTACAGAGCAAGCCACAAAAACGATGCTGTCCCGTACCTTTAATGAGACCCTTTTCTTGCAAAGTTTTCAGAGAAGGTCTTCGGGAGATGAACTTCTTCAGTCTGCTCTTCACACGGTTCTTATCACTTGTATCAGATGCACTGTGATGCAGCCGGAACACTGAGGAATGAAAACAGTGTCAGGGTTTTGGTTTGTTTTTGCTTTTTTTGTACATTTTTATTCGTGATTATTACTTTGGATAAAAACAAACGTGAGGCAAGTTACAGAATGACCACGTGGAGGGCTACCAGGACCCCTCTGTCTAGCTAGGGCAGAGGAATAAAATTTGTCTACTCGGAAGCACTGTGCTATTGTATCCAACGTGCAAAGCGAAGAGGGCTAGCTAACTCATTTCTATTTCCTTTCCCTTATGTTTAATATAGAAACCTTCCTCTAGATAATGCCTTTTCCTTGCATCTAAAAAAAAAAAAGTTACAGTTAGACAAATAACCTATTGGAGGAGCGCATTAGCTCTGCTAATTTCAAGTAATATTGATTACATACTAGATCTCCCTACATAAGGCTTTGTTTTGAAAGGTTTACATACACACATGATTTTGCTACTCTTCTTTTTTTATACCAACTCACGGGATTTCTTTCCCTGGGATGCAGCCACTTCTTACTCAAATTTATAAAATTTGCCTCCGAATTTTCCACATTGCTCTGACTCCTCTGCCCTCAGATCTTCGTTCTATTTCCAGTCAAGCATGTGTTACACTCAGTCCTGAACCAAAGTCTGCTGATCGTCACACTCGATGCTGAGTTAGGGGAATTCAATGACAAAAGTAGCAAATGTAATAGACTCTGGGCTTTTGGAGAGCCTATGGTCCAGCCATATTCACAGGCTGTTATTATTAATTACCGATGGCAATTTGATATGTCTGTGAGATAAGATAAATTCTATATCTGTCTCTACTATTTTAACCCAATTATCGACAAAAATGTGTAGTCTGTTTTTAAAATCTGCCTTGTTCAGACAGTAAAAACAAAATCTGTAATCAGACATGAAAGAGTATGTCTGCATCCTCCTTCCTCCAGCTTGGATCCCAGGCAGGAACAAACTTCAGTTGACAAGGCTAGAAGTCAAGATGAAGCACCCAACAGAAGCAGGTGGACATCCTGCCTACCTGGTAGCTGTGGAGAATGATGGCATTTTATTTTTAAATTAAGTTTCAAAAATTGGTTGGGATCTGAGACATTGTGCTATATAGAACTGAGAACAGTACTTATCATAGAAAAGGACCACAATACGTAATTTTACCCGAAATTAATTGTTTTCAGCTATCTCTGTTTTAGGCCAGATGACTTGTAGCTATAGGGACTTTTTACATAATCTACACAGGTTGCCAGCTGCACCTCATTGGACGTGACAATCAAAACCACATCTAGTCATAGCCAAATGTACCTTGGAGGGAGGCACAATTGTCCGTGCTTAAGAATTATCGCTTAAACGATTTGGGGCATTAATATGGCACAATTAAACCCTCCTTTCTGGGTGGTAGAAGCTTCATCAGCACACCGAGAGAACAGCTTACATTCTGGCCTAGGCATTGCAAAGGACCTCAGTGGTATATGAATAAGAATAGTTAATACCTAGTTAATACTACAGAATTGGAAAGAATGATGGAGTATTGCCACAATATTAACTACTATAAATAATTAAATATATATATTTATTATACTATACTGTAATCAATGGTTCCAGGTCTGCATTCCTGTGTGAGGCTAAAGAACACTTAGTGTCCTTCAAAGACACATGTCTTGGAGAGATTTCATTCGATTTCACATAACTGGTAATTGTATGGAACAACTAGTTTAAGTTTTTCCAGGTTGCCAAAGATTCTGTATTTCACTGCTTTTCTCGCCTCAAACCCCTGCAATTCCCATGCCAGGGTGTCAAAAACCATAAGACCAGGCAGTGTAGTTTTTGTCTGCCATTACAGAGCTCATAAACATTTGTGACTAAAAAGTACTTTGCAAATTAACACACACACACACACACACACACCTCTACAAATGTTACATTATGAAAATAATTATGTAGTGAGTTATATCTTTCTGGAACCCCCTAGGTATTCCAGAGATAGTATTCTTAATTAGAGAGATATATATGTACATTATATTGTTTCCAATCCCACCATCTGGCTCCACATGTGAGAAATGTCTGCAAGGTGTATTGGATTGTGTGGGAAACGTTTTAACTTCTTCTCACCCAGCCTTACAGCATCATGGGTAGGGTTACACAGATTTGAACAGAGGCAGACTCTCCATAGGTGCTTATAATGATGGCCTCCCTGAGTGTCATCTTCCATTTCCCAGAGCCGTAAATAATCATCCTTAGACGAGTCAGATTGCAAGGCCTTTGCCATCAACGCTTTGTTCCTTTCGTTCTAAGGGGAGTTATGAAGACGTTAAAGTCAGTAGAAGCCTGTAATATATGGCCTACTTTTTATTAACCAAATAACTAGAAAGAAAGTGCTATAAATACAAAATAAAAATGTAAGAGACGCCTGGCTATGAAGACAGGTCCATCCCGGGGCCCTGCAAACGGCAGTAAAAGCCTTTGAATATTGTGGTTTACAAATCTGATGTTAACAGCCAAACTTATAAAACAGTTTATGCTTTTCTGTTGTCAAGGGAGAAGAACTTGCCAAATTGTTCATTTTAAGTAAATACAACATAAGCAATTAAGAAAAGCAAAGTTTAAACACATGCCTGTGATAATCAGGACAGCTCGCTTCTGATCTCTCTCCTGATCCCACAGAACAGTGTTCCTTTCATTTTCCCACAGCACCCAGTGACCCCACACATACTTTTAGAAACTTGTAATCACACAGTGCAAATAAAAGGACACTTTACTGGAAAATACACAGTGTGGTACAATAATCCATCATTTATGAAAAATAGAATTCAGCCTTTTCTTTTTCCTCAGAGATTTAACTACTTTTTGAGGGTGAAACTTCCTGCAGTTTGAAGATTTATGTTAAGCCAATGAGCAGTTTTTTTCCATTCCCATTTAAACATTTTATTTGAAAATGAAAAGAGCTGTAAGAGATACGGGTTGAATTCTAAAGCAGTTAATCTGATTTACAGAGGAGAACAGGAATGTCCCTTAATTCTATGTATTGTCACCTCCATGTAAGTTAGCTTGGTTGTGCTCACTTTCCGGGGTTTCTGGAAATAATGCATATATTTCCTTTATATTTTCCTCTTAGTTTTCCAATGATTGTAAAATTTTCTTTGAAGCTCAATAGCATTTTTTTTTCAAAGACCAAGAATCTTTTTTTTTTTTAAGTATGCAATTTAAGTCTGAGCACATAGAGGCAAACAGCACTACCTTAAAACAGGATTCTTAACCAGTTGAGAGATTTAATTGGTGCTAAGGCAGAGAGGTGCTAGGATCCTGCACTTTGGAAGGTATTAGGATGGCGAGCTTTCTCAGATGCTCTTCAGTTAGCAGCATTATGTGTGACAGTAAGCATTAACTCAACATAAGTCTTCTACCCAGGCCAGTCATTGGGGAGTTCCCTGGTACCTCTTGTGCATTTTTTTCCCACAGTAATGGAGGGAAGGGCCACACAGTGTGGATGATGGTCATCTACTACCATTCTATTAAGGCTATGGGAACCACAAAAGAAAACCCCAAATCTTCCAGAATCTAACAGTTTGGATAATATAATCCAGGATCGTGTATCTGCCAGAACTTTGCTTGCTTGGGACTTATTTTGAAATATTTCCTTTTCCTGCCAAACTGCTGTTCTCGCAGTATTCCCATGTCACAATTACATGCTTTCATTGTTATTTTTTTATATTTGGAAATTCTAGGAGAGCTAAGGCTTCAGAAATGTCACTAAAAGAGAGGCGAGTTGCTACTCCTCAGAAACACAGCACCGGGCAGTTTTCAGGGCTACTTCCTTTCATTTTACGAAAGGCATTTTGCGTGAATCAATCTCAGTTGAGGCTAGAGAGTCCCGTTATCAGCCAGGAGTTGCCAGCATTTCAGCTTCCATTCAAGAGGACATCAGGGCTAAGCTGGCAGGAATGGTCAGTGCAATCAGTTTAGCACCCCATGGTGTCCGCAGTGAGAGATCCAGAAAGAAATGTCAAAATAAGGTCAAAGCAGACTCTTTACCCTCAGAGGTTCTGAGGTACTTCTTAAACCATCCCAAGGACTGTCCCGACAAGCGTGCTGTTGTTTCAACTCAGGTTTTCCAACACAACTTTCTTGTATTTGGGGGGTCATTCTGTATTGATACCTTCTTACCAGTACCTTACCCAAAATTGATGGAAAAGAAAAAGGACGTTCATTATGTTTCGTTTCCGCCTTTGTATGTTTCTTCTCAGGCAGTACACACTTGGGCTAATGATGGGCTTGGACTGGACAGACTTTCCAGCATGACCCTTCCAGCAGGCGGGTCTAGAGCATGCGGGTTTTAAATGTTACTCCCTACACTAGAGGGAGAAAGGGGGAAGATTTAGGCTTAATACACTGTGGGTCATTTACTATCTCCTTCTTTTCCATATGTTCAATGTAAATAGAAGCCATAATTTCAACTCTCAATATATAGTTTGAGAAACTAAGTTATTGAAACTTTGAGTGACTCACTCAAAGTACAAATCATGATTAAGTCTGGAAATAATTAGCAGAGTTAACGCAGGGATTTTAACAGCAGCGCTTTGTTTTAACTGCTTCGTTCCCACTTCGACATTGTAAAAATACGAAACAGATGATTTGATTCATAGTGGAAGGGTGTGCATACATCATATGTTCAGCGGTCCATATTTATGCTCTGTACCCTTTTATGGAGAAGTGAGAATTCATATAGTGAAATTGTTTACTCTCCGAATAAATTTTCTAGCTAAATAGTCAAGTCTGAACCCATTTTTATAATCTCAGTGTTATTAAAAAAGACGGCGACTACTATAATTCATCCCTATGTAAATTCCATGGCTACTTTTCCCAGTAATATGTGTATACATGTCTTCCTCCTCTAATGAGTTCACCGTAGGTGAATTACTCATGGTTGCAATATGCAGCCTTTCTTTCAGGACAGATTTATCAAGTTTCTTTTTATGATTGAGAGTTCAAAAAGATCTTTGCACTGCTGTTTGAATTTATA